CGGACGGACGCTGGGACAGCGCGGGGGCCGCACGGAGCTCCGCACGCCCCGCTGCACCCGAAACCGCGGCCACGGCCCTCGCAGGATTCACCCTTCAGCACTGCCAGTCTCCTCCTCCTGCGGTTTGGGCGACGCTGCAAATAAAATGTGAAACTCTGGGTTTCTTCAGGTGTTTCTGTACTGGCCGGTGCTCCCCTTTCATCCTTCTTCCTTAGGGGCCAGGGCCTGGCTGGCTGTAGGCGACGCGGGGACAGGGGCTGCGCTCCTCGGAGGTCGCGGGGACCGCTCGTCAATTATTCCAGTGTAAAACTAAAGCTCGTGTCAACACTTGAGGTGCGTTTAACATTTGTCCCAGGCTCACGTTTGTCACGAGTGCTGGCAGGTGTTCAGCTGAGGACACAAAGGCAAGAAAATGAAGCAAAATTAAAAATGCTGCTACCAAAACTCAGTGTCCTGAAATTTTAACAGCGTCTTGCAGGATCTTGCAAACGGCAATTTACAGCGATTCGTAAGTTAATTGATGGTGTAAGTTCGGGACAAAAATGTACTGTAGCCACTGCGGCCATGTGATTCCTACAGACTGTTGGATTTCTTCCAGGAATGTGTCAAAGCTCAGAAAGCAATGCGCTTCGTCTCGTTGTGTACAGGAGATTATCTGATAATCATTTAAGTTATGTAAAAGAGTCTATGATAGGTCCTATAAAAATAAAGCTACGCAATAGATCCGAGATGTGTGGTTGTTACTTGCTGTTGAGATGCGGCGTTCAGGGGGCTTTCACCGTGCCTCCATCCTCTGTAATGGTTTCTTGGCAGGAGTTAAGACAGGCAGCGGGTTTTGTCTTTTCTAAATCTTTTGAAATGCTGTATTTTATCCACAGCGACCCGTGCTCGTTTTGCCTTCATTTGTACCGACGGTTTCTGTAACTTCATAGAAAGAAAGGAGCGATAATACGCTACAAAGTCAAGGGATGAAAATTGTTACAGTTATGAAAACAGATTAAAATGCTTGGAGGTTCCTATTGAGATGCAAGTTTTCAAAGGCAATCTCGCAGTCTGGCTCCCTGCCAGCCCCATGTGGATTGTTTGTTTTTTAAACGGGATCCACATAGGGATCAGCCTGGGGTTTTACCCTCGGAGGTGACAAATCCTTGTGCCTTCTGTGTTTTAAAAGATAATGTGAAAGGTAAAGCAGTTTTTTTCATTCTTCAACCCAGATTTAACTTTTAAGAGATTTGGGGTCAGCATGCTTGGAAGTGTGGAGAGGTGAAGCAAAATCTTTTGGAAATTAACTGAGATAATTTGTTTTGTCAAATGTTTTAATTTTACTTTTAAAAGTGAGAGCTGTAACTGCTGCCTCCCCTTTCCTCCCCACAAGCTGCCCAAGGTCTCCACAAGTTGTACAGAAAGGAGCCCCCACGGATGAATGTCCACATCTGATAGCTGAGTGCTGTTGAGGAAATGCACTTTTCAAGAACAGTTTTGCAGCAGTTTATTTCACTCAGCTTCTCGAGAATGAGGATCAATGGGCAGCCTGTCCAGCCAAGGTAGCTACAAATTAGGTTAATCCTGCCGTGCTGCTGGTGTTGATGATGGGACAATGTTCTGCTCTGTCAGCTCTGTCCTGCCTTCTTCAGTTTGGCAAACCTCCCAGTCTGCATTGGTGAGCTGCACACTGCCAGCTCCCAGCAGAACTTGCATCTGAGACTGGGCAAAACCAGCTGAGGGGTTATTTCAGGTGGAGATGCTTTGTATTATTTTTTTTGTTTGTTTAGCTCCTGCTTTCAAGCATGTGAATTTGCAGCATGTCTTGGCAGCTGCTCAGAATATTTCAGCCTGATGGTGCTGTGCTAACAATCTCAGTACCCACTTTTCTCCCCTGAGCTGTGCACCTAAGATTTGTTTCAGCAGGCCAGGCAAATGATGGGAGAGCTGATAATGCACTGGTCTCTGCTAAGGAACAAACACACCTTTTTTAGGGTTTATCTCATAAACTCAGTAGGCAAAAGTGTATGAACTGGGGATTTCATCCTGAAGACTTTATAACCTCTCCTGTCAGCTGTCTCACAGGTGTCAGTGAGATTTTGCTCAGAAAAAGTAAAAAAGAGGCTTTCAGGAATTAGTTCTGGGATAGACATTGCAAACCCGGTCTGATTGCCTACAGACCTCACCTTCTTATTCCAAGTAGCCCTGAAGGGCCACAAATCTGACCAGCTGGTGGCTTTTGCTCATATGGTGTTCTTCTGCCTTGTAGAAGGTCACCTGTGGTGCGCAGAAGCTGAGCATCAATCAGCCTTCTTGGGTTAGACCTTGTCTAAAACCAGTGGGAGAAGCAGCTCTGAGGGTGCCAGCAGAGCTGGGCTGATCCAAGGCTAGGGTGGCAGCCCATTCCCAGGGCTGCCAGGTTGGGAAGGTTCTTTGTGGGCTTGCAAGAACTTTGGGCCAGGCTCTGGGAATCAGGCTGACTGAGCAGAAGCTGCAGAAGTCTCTTCAGCTTAACCTCTATGCTGATATAGTTCCTTAAGGAGGATGTTCAGATTATAGGAGCTTGCACTGAAAGAAAAAAAATGATATCTAGAAATCAGTGTTCTTCAAAAGTATGGTTACATTGCTGCCAGAGGATGTATTTGTATTTGAGGAGTACCTGGCATGGGAAGTCTGATAAGCCTGGAAAGGAGCTTACAAACAGCTTTTCCCCACAACACAGACCAAACAAAGAACTTTTGTGTAACTCTTGAGGAGTGCTGGAGCCCCTCTCCCCGCTGTGGAGGCGGTGAGGGCACCTGAAGAGCCCAGAGGTTGCCATCTAGTGAGGCTGCATCTTTGATCTCCTTTGTGCATGTGTGGGCTCTTTTTGTTGGGTTGTTTCCCCCAGCTTGAATAGAGCAGGCAGTGAAAACATCACCTAATCACTCAGAAGCACCCTTGGGAAATTGTTTTCTCTTCTGAAACGCTGAAGATCATCATCCTAAGCATCTGCAAGAATAAAAGCTTTTGTAATTGAGCAAGATATTTTGGACTAAAGCTGATTCTTCTGTCTTAAAAGAAGTGTGTCCCTTTGATAGGAAACGGGTTCTGTTTGGTTGGATCGGGGTCAGACTACCAAACTGTTTAATTTTACAAAGCCTTTACTGAGTTTCTCAGATACACTAAAGTCCATTTTATTGCTTGTGTATTTTACACATACTGCCTGACGTTACTGGAGATTTTGATGGGTAAGCATACATGTGTTAATTTTTCATATGTAGTCAAAGATGATAAAGGGGGATGACTTGATTCTCATTTTAAATGAGGGAATCTTAACCTTTTCTTAATGGTGATTTACTGACAAATAAGTAAGGGTTCACCATGAATAATTACTACTGTGCCTCAGTATTTTGTGACTTAAATGGTCTGGGTCTATTCCAAAGCCACTTTCAGAAAGCAGAAAGATTCCTTGTTTTAAAGTGTTTTGAAGCAGGCTCATTAACTATTTCATGGCCTGAGCTTGGGAATGCTCTAGTACAGCCTGCCTGTTGATGATGAGTCATCTTTGCTGAGCTTACATAGCTGATCAAAGTGTTAGTGAGGAAGATACAGAAGTTTACTGTAAACTCTTTGTTTTCTGACTTTCTAAATAAACTGCTTTTGGCAACAGTGCAAAAACTGAAGGTCATTCTGCACTTACTGGCAACAGTAAGGTGGTGGGGCAATTCTGTAGAGATGTGCAAGAAATTCAGATGAGACTGTGAGAGTTAAGCCTACAAGCCTGACTATGAAGTGAGAGCTGGGAATGCTTTTAGGATAGCCTTGTGTCAGTCAAAGAGGCTGGTGAACATTTCCTTAAAATCCAATTATATTTGTAACACATCTACATAAGCAGATAAAAATAGTGTATTACAGTGGGTGCCCTCTCCCCAGTTCTGTGTGGGTAAAGATTGGCAAGAGATTGCTTAAAGGTGTAGGTGTTTTATAATATTTTTCAATACTTCACTGTAACCCTGATTATCCCTTTCCTGGCAGAGAACTACTTCACCAGCCTGCAGGTTTTTAGGCTTTTATGCTTTTTGGACCCCCTCCATATGAAATGTAAATGTGTGATCAAAGCCATATTTTTTAGGGTTGTTATAGTTGTAGTCCACAGACCTGCAGTTGTCCAGAAGATCACAGACTCAATGTCACTGCACTGCTGTCAGTGGAATGTATTTTTAATTCCTTGAATTGGCCAGTGTGGGATTTGAAGAATAGGCAGCATTTCCCAAATGATCCTTCACCTTTCCTTCACTGAAATGGGGGAAACAATTTCTACAATATGTGTCACCCTCCCAGAGGCAGCTAAAACTGCACGATTTACCCTGTGCTCCCTCCAGGTACTCCCCAACAACACTGGGCATATAAGAAAATGTGGACTGGTCTGTACTGAGGGAGGGAGGAGAGGCATCAGGATTTGTAGTAACAGGTTCTGGTGCGCCTTTAGTGCATGTTTTGTGTGCTAGGATGTCTCCTGGTGGGCATTTTAGACTGCTTCAGCTTTAGCAGTTAATTGTAATTCATTCAGTGGGCTCTGCTGAACAAATTCTGGCAAATCCTGCTGTGCCAGATGAAGAGGTGACTGTCTCCATTTTCTGCCCTCTTTACTGTAGGTGCCATCCCTTAACTACATGCTGAAGGGAACTGTACCTGTGCCTCTGTGACTACAATCTGTGATCAGTGCCCAAGTGCATCCTCAAGGAGGGTTTGGAGTGAAGTGGCGGCAGTTTGGCTTAGCCCAGGAATGGCTGGAGCTCAGCTCAGCCATTTCAGCCACAGCTACGTGAAGCAAATCTGCTGTCAGACTGGGAGTGAGTTAAACCTAGAACACTGGG